CTGCTGCTGCCCTGTGCAGGCGACCGCAGCGAAAGCCTCCGTCGGCGTTGAAGAGGGGAGGGGCCCCCCTCTAATTGCTGCTGCTGCTGCTGCTGCTGGTGCTGGTGCTGCTGCTGTTGCTCAGTAGCAGCAGCAGCAGCAGCAGCAATTAGAGCGGCGCCCCCGGTCTGCCGCTTCACAAGAGAAGTGTGCATGCAGCAGAGCCGCAGCAGCACAGTCCACTCGAGAGCGCTGAGAAGCCTCCCCTCACCTGCTGCTGCTGTTGCTGTTGTTGTTGCTGCTGCTGTTCCTGCTGCTGCTGCTGCTGCTTGCTGCTGCGCTGTCTCTTCAAGCTGTCTGTACACCTCGCGCTCTGCGGTGCTGGCGAACGTCAGCGCATGCACCTTCATCTGTACTTGTGGTAAGTGGGGCTGCCGCAGCGGCGGCATCAGCAGCAGCTGCGGCTGCTGTTGCTGCTGCTGCTGCAGCAATTGCTGCAGCAGCTGCTGCGCCTTGGAGCAGATGTTTTTCTTTTTTTCACCCCACATCATCAAGTCTGCATGCGACCGCCGTAGCACCAACCCGCCAATGTCTGCTGCTGCCTCTCCTGCTGCTGCTGCTGCTGCTGCTGCTGCTGTTGCTGTTGCTGCTGCTTCTGAGAGACACGGCTTGTCTGCTTCCTTCTTGCCGCAGAAGCAAACATCAAATGCGTTGATTGTCTGCTTCTCTTTTGCTGCTGTCTCCTCTACAACCCCCAGCAGCCTCAGGAGCCTGTAAGCGCCTGCAGATGCAGCAGCAGCATCAGCAGCAGCAGCAGCAGCGCCTCCTCCCGCTGCTGCTGCAGCAGCTGCTGCTGCTGCGGCTGCAGCTGGTGCTGCTGCCTCAGGAGTAGCAGTAATACCCCAGCGAGCCTTTGCATCGATAGCAGCAACAAACTCTACAACTCTTCTTCTCTTCAGCAGCAAATGTACTTCATCTATTATTACCCTCCTCCACTTAAAACCCAAAATAAAACAACAAATGCAAGAACAGCGGGGGCCCCGGGGGCCCCACAGCTGCACTGCTCCCCGACGAGGTGTACATACACCTCGGGCCCCACAGACATTCCTGCTGCTAGCTGCTGGGCTGGGGTGTATAGGCAGCTTCTTGTAAAAAGGAGAAGAAGTGCTTCTAGGAGAAACATCATCAGAAAAAGTAACGCCAGAGCTGCATAGACACTTCAAAGGCGAACTAACCGGAGTAACTGCTGCTGCTCCTGCTGCTGCTGCTGTTGCTGCTGCTGCTGCTGTTGCTGCTGCTGTTTGCTCCTTTCTTCTTTCTTTAGGTGTCTCGGCACCTGCAGATGTCCAACCCTCCAACTCCTCTCCACTCTCCTCTGCAAGAAGCAGCCTCAACTCCTTCTGCTGCTGCTGCTGCTGCTGCTGCTGCTGTTGCTGCTGCTGCTGCTGCTGCCTGCGGGGTTTGCAGAGGCAATCTGCTGCAGCGATGCGTTCAAAGGAAATAAAAACGGCGTCGACATCCTCCAGCAGAGAAGGGCTCAGTGAGGGCCCTAAACAAAACAAGAAAAAAATAATATATATAATAATATAACTATAATATAATTAAATGTAATATTATAATAATATAATATAATATAATATAATGTAATATAATATAGTATAATATAATATAATATAATATTAGTATAATTAAAAAAACAGCAGCAGCAACAGAATCAGCAACGCAAGCAGCAACAGCAACAGGAGCAGCAACGCAAGCAGCAACAGCAACAGCAGCAGCAGCAACAGCAGCAGCAGCAGCAGCAGCAGCCTATGCATGCATTAGAATACCGTTATCTCTGAGGTATTTGCTGCAATCAAAAGTTTTAATTTTTAATCCGCCTAACTGCACAAACTGCTTCTGCCACTGCAGCAGCACAGCAGCAGGACAGACTATCAGCGAGAGTTCAGCTCTTGCTGCTGCTGCTGCTGCTGTTGCTGCTGCTGCTGCTGCTGCAGCCCCTGCTGCTGCTGGAGTCATATAAGGGGCCCCTCTGCTGCAGTTTGCTGCTGCTGCTGCTGCTGTTGCAGCAATAAGAGCAGCAAATTGCATTGTCTTCCCGAGCCCAAATAAATCTAGCACCAAACCACCTGTACTCTTCAACACAACAGGGGGCCCCCCATCCCTCCCTAACGCCTGAGGAGGCCCCTGGGGGGCCCCCTCAGAGGGCCTCATAGGGGGCCCCTGGAAGGGGGCCCCCTGAGAGGGCCCCATAGGGGGCCCCTGGGGGGCCCCCTGAGACTGCCCCTGGGAGGTGGGCCCCTGGGAGGGGGGCCCCTGGGAGGGGGGCCCCTGGGAGGGGGGCCCCTGTAAGGGCAATGTGGGGGGCCCCTGGTGGGGCCCAATGGGGGGGCCCCAGGGGGCCCCCTGTAGGCGTCCTTCTCGTTGGAGCATCCAGAGGAGGCCCTCAACCTGAAAGGTGAAGAGGTGGTGCTGCAGCAAATGAAGAAGAGCAGATAAACAGAAGGGGGGCCCTGAATAAAAAGAGGGGCCCCCCTCTTTGCTGCTGTTAATCCATGCGCTGTCTCTTCTTCTATCTGATAAGGGAGATGCAACAACATCCCTCAATAAACGCAAGTCCTGCTGCTGCTGCTGCTGCTGTTGCTGCTGCTGCTGCTGCTGTTGCTGTTGCTGCTGTCCATCCACATGCTCTTGCTCGGCCTGCTGATCGTTCTCTTCACCCTCCTCCTGCTGTTGCTGCTGCTCCTGCTCGTGCTGCTGCTGCTGCTGCTGCTCCTGCTGTTGCTGCTGCTGCTGCTCAAGGATGTATTCTTTCTTCACTGGGGCCCAAACTCCTCCAGCAGCCGAAGACATCCCGACCTCCTCATTACCCCCGCTGCTGCTGCTGCTGCTGCTGCTGCTGCTGCAGTAACGGTTCAGTTGTGTATGGCTTTCGGGTGTCTGCTGCTGCAGCTGCTGCTGCAGCTGCAGCAGCAGCTGTTGCTGCTGTTGCTGCTGCTGCTGCATGTGGGTTTTTCTTTTTTTTCTTGGAGTTGAGTTGGAGCTGCTGCTGCTGCAGCCTAAAGGGAGGGGTGTAAACCTCTTTGCTGCTGCTGTAAGCTCAGCTCTGCTGAGTGCAGCAGCAGCACGCCGAGCTGACGACTTCAGGTATCCGCTGCTGCGGCCGAGAGGCTGCTTGAAGGGAGAAGCTGCAGCAGCAGCACATCCAACTGCTGCTGCTGCTGCTGCTGCACCTGCAGCAGCAGCAGACCCTATGCTGGAAATATGCGCACGCGGCGGAGTCATGTACGGAGAAGCCAAACCTCGTGCTGCTGCTGCTGCTGTTCCTGCTGCTGCTGCTGCTGCTGCTGCTGCTGTCTTAACTGGCTGCCGTTGGGGGGTTGAGGGCTCACTGAAAAAACCGCGACTAAACGGAGCCACGTTTGCTGCTGCTGCTGCTGCTGCTGCAGTTGCTGTTGCTGCTGTTGCTGTCAGCCCGGCAGCCCGTACGTATGGAGACTGACAGTTTGCTGCTGCTGCTGCTGCTGCTGCTGCTGCTGCAGTGTCTGCACGCCTCATCCTGCGGGAATTGAAGGCGACGGGGCTTCCGCCCCCCACCCATACAAAATCATCAGCAGCTGCAGCAGCAGCAGGAAACTCTCGAGGTGCGGCAGCAGGCAGAGCATCTGCTGCTGTTGCTGCTGCTGCTGCTGCAGCGGGAAGTGCATCTGCTGCTGCTGCTGCTGTTGCTGCTTCAGCTGCCTGCAGCGGAGGGCTATCCGCAGGTGTATATTCACCTTGACAGAAGAAGTCTTCCTTGTCTGCTGCAGTAGCAGCAGCAGCAGCAGTTGCGCCTGCAGCAGCAGCAGCAGCAGTTGCTCCTACAGCAGCAGACTCAGCAGTAGCAGCAGTTGCTGCTGCTACTGCTGCTGCTGCATGCGAGGCAGGTGCTGCTCCTACACCTTCCTGCGTCTTTTGTGTCGCGGGCAGCAGATCCCCAAGGAAGTCTTGCTGAGTAGCAGCCTGCGGCGCTGCTGCTGCTGCTGTTGCTGCTGCTGCTGCTGTGTCTGCTGTCGTATCCATTGCTGCTACTGCTGTGTCTGCTGCAGTGTCTGCTGCAGTGTCTGCTGCTGTGTCTGCTGCTGTGTCAGCTGCTGCTGCTGCTGCTGCTGCTGCACGTTGGGTGTCTTGTTGAGTATGGATATAAGTGCGCTGGGTTTGTGCTTCTTCTTCTTCTTTTTGCTGCTGCAGTCTGTCTCCTTCTTGCTGCTCTGAAGTGTATGTACACCAGACGGGGGCCTCCCGTTGCTGTTGGCTGTCCCCAGCTGCCCATACACCTGAAGCTGCAGCGGGAAGCAACGAGCAGCACTCCTCTGTTTGCTGCTGCTGCTCTTCGCGCAAGGCAACTCCAGCACATAAAGGGCTGCTGCTCCCCCCTGCTGCTGCTGCTGCCGCTGCTGCTGCTGCTGACGATGATAATGATGCTGATGCTGTTGTTGCTGCTGCTGCTGCTGCTGCAGAGCCTGTAGGTGCTACGAGAGTGCTGGAGACAGCCACGGCTGTGCCTTTAGCTGCTGCTGTTGCTGCTGTTGGGTCTGCTCCTGCTGCTTGTGTGTCTGCTGCTGTTGGATCTGCTGCTGCTGCAGCTGCTGTGCCTGCTGCTGCTGCCGATGCTGCTGCTGTATCTGCTGCTGCTGCTGTGTCTGCTGGTGTTGCTTCTGTTTGCGTTGTGCAGCAGCCAATGCCTTTGCTTCGGAAGGCAGCAGCAGCAGAAGCAGCAGCAGCAGTTATCTGTGATGGTGTTGCTGCTTCTGCTGCTGCCTTCATCTCAGCCCAGAGAGATAAATATGAAGAGCGAAGCCACACAGAGGAGGCCTTGCTCCTGCTGCTGCTGTTGCTGCTGCTGCTGCTGCTGTTGCTGCTGCAGCTGCTTCCTGTCTTCTTAGCTGCTGCTGCTGCAGCAGCAGCAGCAGCAACTGCCCTTGTTGCAGTAGCGAGACCCGTGGAGTGGAATGCCACCGAAGCAAACCGATTCCCCAATACACCCGACTTGCTGCTGCTGCTGCTGCTGCTGCTGCTGCTGCTGCTGCTGCAGTTGGTGCTGCTGCTGCTGCTGTTGCTGCAGTTGCTGCTGAGAGGCCCTCTACACTCCAAACCAACACACAATCCATCCACAGGGGCCCCCAAGGGGGCCCCTCCTATTGGGGCCCCCCCCATAGGGGCCCCCAAAGGGCCCCCCCCTATAGGGCCCCCTAAAGGGGCCTCCCCAATAGAGGCCCCTAAAGGGGCCCCCCCCATAGGGGACCCTAAAGGGGCCCCCAAAGGGGCCCCCCCTATAGGGGCCCCTTCTATAGAGGCCCCCACTGGGGCCCCCAAAGGGGCCCCCCCTATAGGGGCCCCTTCTATAGGGGCCCCCAAAGGGCCCCCCCCTATAGGGGCCCTTTCTATAGGGGCCCCTAAAGGGGCCCCCCCTATAGGGGAGGCCCCTATAAGGGGGGCCCCTTCGGGGGCCCCTAAAGGTGACCCTCCTATAGGGGCCCCTAAGGGAGTGTAAGGGGTGGAAGGGGTTGGGGAGCAGCAGCAGTTGATTGCATTTAGAGACAGATTGTCTTGTGAAAAGTTTGCTGCTGCTGCTGCATGCGTCGGATCTGCTTCAGTTTGCATGCAGTGTAGGGTTTCATTTTGCTGCTGCTGCTGCTGCTGCTGCTGCTGTTGCTGTTGTTGCTGCTGGCTGCAGACGACGCAAGGGAAGTCGAAGCCGCCGCAGCAAACCTCCACCTCTTCTTCGGGCTCCGCAGACATAAGACAGATGCTGCTGCTGTTGCTGCTGCTGCTTCTGCTGCTGCTGCTTCTGCTGGTGCTGCTTCTGCTGCCTCAGCCCCGCTGCCGCTCTCAAGGATGAAGCCGCACCAGCTGCCGCTGCTGCTGCTGCGCTGCTGCTGCTGCTGCACTGCTGACGGATGCTGCTGCTATAGATCCTTCTCTTGCTGTTGCTCTTGCTCTTGGTCTTGCTCTTGCTCTTGCTGCTGCTGCTGCTGTTACGGAAGACTGTATACTGTATAATATATTTATTTGGTGTATAAAAACATTAATTTATATTTATTTTTTATTTATAATATTTAAATATTTAAATATATTTTTATATTTATTCGAGGTAATCTGCTGCTGTACACCGCAGCAAACCCCCCTTCACCTGCTGCTGGGGGGCCCCCCTAAAGCAAAAGAAGTGAAGGTAAAACTGCTGTTATTAAACAACTAAAAGCATCAAAAAAAAGAAAAAAAAGAATAAATAATTAATTAATTTAATTAAAAAATAAATCTCCCTCCAAAGAAACAAAATAAACATCAAAGAGGCCCTAGAAACAGAGAAAGAGGGTGGGGGCTGTCAATACAGCTGAGAGATTAAGTCAACTCGAAGAGAAAAATTAATTAAAATTAATTAAAATTAATTAAAATTAATTAAATTAATTAATTTGTTAAAATTAATTAAAATTATTAAAATTAATTAAAATAAATTAAAATTTATTTTTTATTTTATTTAATTCAAAATTATAAAATGCGCCGCCGATCTTCAACAACGCAGCTCTCTAACTTCATATACAAAAGAAATTAGTTATATATATATATATATATATGTATATGTACATATATATATAAACATATATATATACATATATATATAATGTATTTAAACTTGTTTATCTATACTTGTACATCT